TTAAATAATAATGAAGATCTAATTGTATCAGGAAGTTAAGATAAAAGTATTAAATTTTGGATGAAGAAGAATGAATGGATATGTTAGTAAACAATTATGGATCATAATGATGAAGTATTTTAATTAAGCTTTAATTAATAATAAAATAGATTAGTGTCTTGTAGTAAGGATAGTTTAATATTAATAATAGAACAGTCAGAATAAAATAAAGAATGGATTGTAAAATAAAAGATCAAAGTTGAATAATATGGATACAGAGTATGCTTTATTGATAATAATATATTCACATTCTCACCATATGGTAAAGAATAGATGTGTGTTTATGAGATGAATAATTAATTTACCAAGACTAAAGATATTACTGTTAAATGTGGATCAGATGGTTGTTGTCTATTTCCTTAATAATATATAAATGCAAAATGTATGCTTCTGAGTAAGAATGGTGAATATGTCAATTTCATTAGGAAAAAATAAAATGGAGACTTATTAACTCAATAATCTATACATTTTGGAACTAATCTTTTATATGGAGCTATGAGTGATGATGGATAGTATTTGGTTACTTGGGATGACAAATCAAAATAAATACAAATTAGAAGATATTAAGAACAATGAAATATATATTTATAAGTTCATATCAACAACATTTTTTAAGTATATCCTAATTTCTATTTTAAATTGTTAAAGTTAAAAAAATTTTATTGAATAGATATATGTCAAGAAATTTACAATCATTTTTATTTTGTTCATTTAAATATATCTAATTTTATCGTTACCACTATTTATTGGAACAGATTAAATTGAAGAAAATTCAATTAAAGTTATATTTTTGATTTTTTGGGCCAAATATTCTTCTCTTTTTTTGACATTGAGGATGTCATAGGATTCTTTAGGCTTTTAGGGGTGATTAATTGTTAATTTTTAGTATTAAAAATACATATATAAAAAAAGGAACGATTCATAAAAATGATAAACTAGAAATTAAGTGTTGGATCAATTACCATTAACTACAATATTAAATAATTTATTAAGATTATCTGGTTAGATAATAAATATCTATACGCTTTTAAAATGTCAAAAGAATTTAATAATTATGTGTACATCTAGCTAACTTCCAATATATTTATTTAGGAGAGATATTTTTCATTTTATTAAAGCTTCCTATCTTAAAGAGAGAAGGATTAATAAGCAATCTATTAATACAAAAGTGTTTTTTGTTCTAATCAAAAAGGAAAGCACATTATTTTCTATAATATTTTTCTGAAAGGTATTAGATAAATTTATGGTTAAATTACAAGTAGTTCCATTTTATTTGAAATATTTTATTCGGCTATTTTTCAATTTAAAACAAAATACTTAAAATTCAAAATTAATATTGAAATTAATAAATTACCTATATAATATACAATTATATTTGAAGGATGGAATGAAAGTGTCTTAATATTAGAGTATTTTATATGATTTTTTAGCAGATATTCCACAAAATTTACA